AAACTCAATGGAATATACAACATAATAAATCATTCCATTGAATACTAAAAATATATTGAAATATGTGAATAATTAGTGAATATTTTAAGACAATTAAGATGATATTTTTTATATTTTTATAATGAATATAATCTCTTCTTTCTATGTTAATCACTTATTTAAAAATATAAACATTTATTTATATAAATTATTTCTTTAAGTTGAAAGAAATAAAGAAACAATAATAACAATACTAAAGAAAGAAGATTTCATAAAAAATTTTTTGTTGAATGAAATAATTTATTAAAATAATATAATAACAACTTTAAAATAATAGAGTATATTATTAATTGTTTATTAATAAATATTTATTTATTATCATTTTGAGTTGTTTCATTTTATTATTATTATTGTATTCAAATTTGATGATGATTTTGTTAAAAAATAACTCTATATGAAAACAAAGTTGAATAAATTGAAAAGAAATAATGAGTTCATAATATGAATAAACTGTGAATATAATATATCTGACATTTAATCTTTTCATATCACAACAATAAATATATTGAATAAATAATTCATATTCAATTTTTAATTCATTAACATAATTATTCAAATAGTATCAAGATTGAATCAAATGAATACAAAATAAAAATGATTAATTAATAAATAATAACTATATTAAATTGAATTAAAACACAATACTCAATTGAATTATTAAATGTATTGAAATAGTCATAAATTATATGAATGATTAAATGAATAATCAACAATAATCATCAATTGATTATTTACATCAAATAAAAGAAAATGAAATTACTAAGAATAAAGAAAGACAAAAGAAAACAAACATGAAAAATAATTAGAACATTCAAATACATTCAATATTAATATAATTTTAGAAGAAGTTTCAAATAAAGAATTAGAAAAGACAAAACAAAGAAAGAGAGTGAAGAATATAATTAAAAGAATAAATCAACAAGAAACAACACAATATAGGAAAGAATTAAGAAAGAATTCATTTGTTTTTATCTTTTTATTTTAAGATTCAACTCAAGAAAAAACAGAAAATAAATATAGAACAATTTAAAAATACTTTATAAAGAAATTTTACATGTTTGAAATGTTATTTATGAGTTTCTTTCATATAATCTTATTTCAGATAATTCTATTCATTTTTAATATTTGATTCTTCTTCATTACATCATAACAATATAAGAATAATAAATAGAATAATGATATAACAATATTTATAATAAATTAATATATCAATAAGAAGTAAAATAGATTTAATATTCAATTCATAGTTACATGTTTTTGTATCATTACTAATTTAATATAATGAATTTCTTTTTATATTTAATGATCTCCATATGATTATTATTAATTTCTTATTATTAAATATACAATTTACATTTCTTATATATTCACTACATTTCTTTCAATTCATTTAAATATCTTTCATTTAATTTATTTGTTACAAATTCAAATACATTGTTTACATCATGTTTTATTTCATTTATTTGTATTATATTCATTCATTGAAATTAATCTTTCTTATCAAATACATTCTTTATTCTTTTAATTATTCCATTTGGATTCTCTTTTATTATTTCTATTATTTCTCCTATTTCTGTATTTGATCTCCATTTATATTTTAAATATATTCTTAATATTTCATTACCACATTCATCTCGTGCTGACATTAATCACATTCATAATTCATTTATTGTAACATATATCTATTTCTATGAATGCTTGTACTGTATAGTTGGAGTTGTATCAATGATTTTCTTATTTATTTATCTATATTCTAAAACTCACCCAATTTCCATTTGATAATACAGAATCAATATCTTAATTTTGAGATTATATCATTATTAATCCTTCTAATTGTGTTGATGTTACTATATTTCATAATATTTAATGATGATAAAATAGAAGATACATCATTTAATAATCTTGTACAATATTTATTAATATTTATTTTATCTCTTATTTCAATACCAAGATATTTATAAGGGTTATCATTAGTTACTCTTGGTAATTCATATAATTCTCCATTTATTTGAATATTGATATTAGTCATATCTCACTCTTTTCTATATTTATTTTTAATCATATTCTATTAATTATTTCATTTGTTAATTTGTGTGTTTTTTCCATTTCATTAATGTTGTTAGTTATTATATTTAAATCATCAATATAATATGTGGTTTAACTTTACTTGTTTTTCTTCTCCATTCATTTTAATAGATAACTTATTAATTTGTTTATCTAATTATTTAGATAATATATCAATAAATAATACAAATAATAATTTAGATAAATTATCATATTGTATTATTCATCTTTCTACATTAATTATACTTACATTTTGTTGAATATAATATAATTAGAGTTGTGTAATATTTAATATATATAATATACTTTTAATTACAACTAATGGGATGTTAAAATAAATTAAACATTGTTTAACAAATTGATGATTAATACTATCATATGCTTTAGAGACATCATAATATGTTTCTACCCACTTCCATTTAGCCTTAATTAATAACTGAATGATTATAATATTGTATAATAATCATTCTTTTGATAATATGTATATTTTTACATCAAATTTGATTTTGTGATAATTGTTTTTCAATTTGATTTAACATCAATTAGATTTCTATTTTCATCTTTAATAAAGATGTGTATACTTTTAACATACAATTTAAACAAGTTATTTGTCTGTAATTTTGTTTATATAATTTATTTCATTTCTTATATATTAATATTATTCTTCATTTGATGAAATGAATTAGATATTATTATGACTATACAATATTTCATTAAATAATTTTAATAAGAAATTGTTTGGTTGTTCTAATTATTTAATCAAGAAGCCTTGTATTTTATCAATTCCATGTGCTTTCCAATTATCAATGAATTTTATTGCATGGTTTAATTCATCTAGAGTGATTATATACCTTCTATTATTAATTCTATTTTCAATTAATATATCATATAAATTATTATTTAGGAAATATATATTGGTGTTATTTTCATAGATTCATTTTAAGAAATTAATTGTAGTAATATTATCTGGATATTCATCTTCTTTATGTTTATTTAGAAGTTATCTCTTTCCATATTTTAACATTTTATAATTCCATCTTATTCTTTTCCAATTATTCTTATTTCTATTTCTATTCTTTTCATTCTTTGGAGATATTTGTAATAGTTTATTTGATCATTTGTTTTTATTTTAATATGATATATATCATATTTTTTAATATGTAATATTATTTTTAATTTCATATATTGATTATTATGAAGTAAATCTCTTAATCTACATATTTTTGATTGTAATATTCTTTCTATACTTCTCTTTCAACTTCTTTCTTTGTTCTTAGTAATAATGATGTTAATAGTTGATGTTATAGTTTTAATATGATGATAATAATCATCTAATGTATTGATTAATATTTCATTTGTATTAATGATATTAATTATTTGATGTATTTTGTTTTTATTATAATAATAATTAATAAATTATACATCTTCTTGTTCTTTCATATCTTCTTCTTTATTTATTCTTATTATTTCTTGTATTTCTTCTTTCTTATTTATTTTATTAATTCTTTTAATTTAATATCTTTCAATTGATGTGTTATTATTTCTTCTCATTTCTTCTATTGACTTCAATTTTAATTTCTTTCTTTATTTTAAATGTTTTCTTTATTATTTCTTTATATTAATTAATATCTTCTATTTTAATTTCAATTTCATGTATTAATCTTTTTATTTCTTCTTCTTTAATTTAATATCTTAATTTTATTTCTAATAACTTCAGTGTATAACATTTATAGAATGTTAGAATTTATTATTCTCTATTTGTTTGTTTCAATTGTTTTTTGTTTGTCTTGATCAGAGTGGTGATATTCTTATGTTGATTTCATATCTCTTCAATTGAATTCTGCATTAACTTTCTTTTTTTGAAGATCATCTTTATTTGATGATATTTCATCAGCTACTACCACATTGGGGGTGAGGTCATTCACAATTTGTGTTTCAGATGAATCAGATATAATGTGATTTATCCCATCTTTCTTCTTTTCTTCTTTCTCTTTAATAGCCTCTTCTTTTCTTTAACTCCTCTATTCTTTTATCTTTTCTTTATTCTTTTCTTCTCTTCTTCTAGACAATTTCATTTTCATCATCATTTTCATCATTGTATATTTCTTATTTAAATATTTATCATTTATTTCTTTTTGATTTAGTTGTTTATCATCTTCTTCATGTGTCATACTAATAGTTTCTCCATTCTATTCATTTTTATTATTTCTCTTACAAATAAATACCATCTTCTCATTATTTTTGATTATATTCTTTAATCTTAGTGTTGTTAATTTCTTCTATTTCTTGTGGTGTAAATATTTTGGTTTCTTCTTCAAATAGTCTTTTCAAATATTCTTGTTTTGTATTTCTATCATTTCTTTTATTTCTTATTTGTTGATGTCTTTTATTATGGTATTGTTTATATCTGTGTTGTGTTTTATTATGTGATTTATTTGTATTATAATACTGATTGATTCTATTTGAATTATTGGTAAGATACTTATGATGATGAAAAAGATAATTGTTATGATGATAGTTATTATTATTGTAATATTTAATATGATAATTGTTGTATTTCTGTCAATACAAATAATACATGTTTTCAATCATTCTTCTATCATTTATATTTCATAGTTGATAAAGACATCTCCTTTGTTATTGACTTATTTTCTGTGATATTGAAATCATCTTTTTTTCTATTTCTATTTCATCAGAAAAAGAAAAAATTAAAATAAGTAAAAAAAAAAGAAATAATTAATGAGTGAAGAAGAATATCAAACACAAGAAATAAGTTTATTAAAAGATAAAGAAGAAGAACAAAAAGAAGAAAAAAACCCAAGAATAAAAGACAAAGAAGAAAAAGAAGAGATAATAAAGAAAGAAATAAATGATAGAAAAGAATATTATAAAAAGAAAAACAGTGAAACAGTAATTTGTCCATTTAATAGTGAACATATAATAAAAAAAAGAAAATATTTAAGACATATTAGAGGATGTCCAAATAATCCAACAAGAAAAGCTACATATGGGAAAAAATATATAGTAGAAAATATTAATCGACCAATAATTAAAGAAAGTATTACAAAAGAAATTGAAATTAAAAGATTACTTCCATTTTTAGAAGATAAAATTATTGAGAAAGGGATTGATAAAGAAAGAAAAGGAAGTGAATTTATTAGATGTGAATGTAATAAATTAACATTGAGTCAATTTGGAGAAGAAGAAATTAAAATAATGAAAGAACGAGTTAAAATTATTTATAATTATATGGAGAAAAAATATACAGATATATTTAAAGGAATAAAAAATAATATTGAAAAAGAAGGAAAAGAAGATGAATTAATTGAAGAAAAAGAAATAAAAAATATTGAAATGCCAGAAGGATGGGAATTTCAATCAGAAAAACATAGTAAACAATGTATTTCAATAATAAAACATTTAATAGATAAAAAAATAATAATAAATGAAGGAGATAAAAAACAAAATATTATAGAAAGTGGAGCAGGAACAGGAATGTTATCAGCATATTATTCATTAATTCCACATTCAAATAATACAAGAATTTATCTTATAGATAGAATGACAGGATTAAGAAAAAAATATGATAGATTTAGTAAAAGAAATGGTGATCAAATAACAAGAATTGCAGCAGATTTAAGTGATATTGATCTTAATCAATTAATTGATGAAATTGAAATTAATGATAAAATTAAAACACTTGAAAATTCTACTACTATTATTGGTAAACATTTATGTGGATCAGCTACTGATATGGCTTTAAGAATGGCAATTTCATTAACAAAAACAAAAAGATTAAGAGGAATAGGTATTGCATTGTGTTGTCATTTTAAAGGAGATGGTCATGATGATTGTACTATTGATTTCTTTAATACTTTAGGTGTAAGAATCTCTGAATTAACTCTTATTCATCGGATGGCTGCTTGGGGTATTTCTTTAAATAATTCTAATGAAAAAACTGATGATCTTGACAAAAAATTAGTCGGTCAAATGTGTCGAAGTATACTTAATGTGGCAAGAGTTGTATGGTTAAAAAATCAAACGTTTATTGGTGATGCTGGACTTGTAAAATATTGTAAGAAAACAAGTTCATTAGAAAATGTATTATTATGGGCAAAATCAAATATGATTAATCTTTTTT